ATATACAACCTAGGCCATCACCCTTTCTATGGGTCTGGTCAAGTCTGCAAGTCGTTCTAGGGTCTTTTTGCCGTTGATGTTATTATAAAAGGTTGGGAGAATCGTCTTTCGTGCAGGGCGGGGATTGAGAAAGGGGTATACATGTACATGCTGTTGCAATTGTACAAACTGGATATCATAAGAGGCCACTCATGTGCCCTAGTCCCCGTTCTGTTTATCATATTATGCATCGGTCGCACTGCGAGTGAACTTTGCAATCTGAAGAAAACATGTTTAGTTGGCGAGGTAAAATACCGTATGTGTTCTAACAGTAAGGATTATTAGGTTCATACCAGCGCAACAGAGAGAAAGTTTCGTTTTGTTTGAATAACATATATCAAGGTATACTTAACTAGTTTATAACATTTGTTTTTTAATCAGATACATTTGACACAGAAATCACTACTTTATCTATATCAATGAATACAGTGTATACGTTTTAAAAGACCATCCCTGTTGAGGTGGTGGCAAATATTTTAGTTAACACATGATGTACATTTGTATTCCAATACATTATTCACATAACTTATTATTTATATCAAAAGATACACTCGTTTTGATTACATTAGGCCGGGAATCTTTTGTCATATTTGACAACTTATGTATGTGTGATTAGCATTTTGGTATAACAAAGAAAAATTTAAATCAGGATAACAAAGCATTTGACGGATATGGCAATCTGATACCCTGTCTAATTACAAATATCGCCAAGTTATCTATACAATTTGAAAATGTTATTGTGATTTTCCAGGACGAATGTTTAATTCTATATATTCAGTTAAGTATTTATTGTTCTCGTATTCGAAACTGTAAGCGCAGTGTGCAACATAATCCTGATATTTCCGCAATTTAAATCTCCCCTTAGCTGTCCACTTCGACAGAAATTATCGATATACAGTATATATATAATGTAGTCATGTTTTCTAGTTTGGAATGTTGTCAAGCCGATAAGGAAATAGATCCTTATCAAGTTTTGTTAATGTCCCTTATCTCACAATGTACAGTACTTTCAGCGAAGGCCAATTCAAGTGTTTAAATAAAAACGATAGAACATCAACGCTTTTCCCGTTTTGCTGTATTGAGTCATTTCCTGATGCAATTTCAGTTCGACGTGTTTTTCGCTAAATTGAAACAATTCACAACAACACACGTCATCACATCATAATATACTTTTATTGGTTGTTTGGATTTGAAAGGAAATTTTATTGTACAAGAAATATTTTAATTTGAATTGATGTCTTTCTCAATGTTTACTTTTGATAATCGAATTAAGAATATATTCCGTATATATCTGTTCCAATTTCCATATAAGATTACGTATCATTATGAAAAATCCGTTTGCGAAAAAAATAGCAATCTTTAATACTTGTACTGTTAGAAATTAATGTGAGATATTAATGTGAGATATTAATGGAATTCTATTCAGTACTGTACTGTACTACAATAGGCACGATATTCTAGTGGTAGGACGCCGGGCTCGTGACCGAAGGGTTGCAGGTTCGAGTCACGTCACGGCACAGTGTTGTATCTTTAAGCAAGATACTTAACTCTTCTTTGCTCCAGTCTACTCAGCTTTATAATGAGTACGTAGTTGGGCAGTGCTAGAATTGTTGAATGCTAGCTGTGAGCGCCGCAATGGCAGCACCGGTTGTATCCTCCCCTGGGAGTTGAGAATGATATTGGCTGCTTGCAAAGGCCCTATAACCACGGATAATAATTTGTGAACCGCTTTGAGACGAACCCCGAACTATGTTGTGATAAAGTGGTATATAAGAACCTCGAATTATTATTAATATTATAAATATTATGTTTAATTTCTGTACATCTTTCATAAATCAATGTTAACAGTTGTAATACGCTCTCACATACCTACACACGCGTCTCTAACATAGCTGTGTAACTTTCTGATGGAATAGTAACATGATAATTCCAGGTGTTAACAAAACCTCTATTTGAACTAAAAAAGGGCGTTTTTGGTTTCATCGACAACAACCGCCATATAATACTAGGCCGTATCCATGTAATGTCACGTCCCAAAGGTAAGGACACGAAAGAGACAATGGACCCCTTAAGGAACATAATTGAGCGTTATCCAAAGTTTGGACCTTCGTGTGGCACAAGAAAATACAATATTTATTAATGATATCTTAATGGCGACTATAAACCTTGCCTATGTTCTTAACATCTTCTATCATCTTTAGAACCTTGTGTTGTAAGTTTGGCCGTCGCCAAGCGATATCTACATGTATCAGGAAAATCATGATAATCACAGCAAGCTCTTGAATCCTGCGATATATAACCACATTTGTAAGGATGTTACTATCAAGGTCAGACAAGTTAACGATCCAAAAATCGAAATGGTCACGTTTATCGTGCAGCTGAGAAATAATCCTTATTATCTTGGTAAAGATGTAAGTATAGATTGAAGAAGGCGGCTGTTGAAGAAGGCGGCTGTTGAAGGCGGCTGTTGAAGAAGTATCAGTAGTGTTCTTTATATCAAGTTCAGAAGTGTATTAACGATAGATTATTGTTATTTAGCAGCATATTGTTGCTTTATCTGACAATGAAATAAAAAATATAACAAGGTTTTTGCTAGCAGTCTATATAATCTTGTTAATTAATTTAGCCGCATTCATAAACATATAAAAAGCTGCCAAAAGAGGGGCAAAGTGTTTTCCCATTGAAATGCATACAGTCTGCTGGGAATACTTGTCACCGAAAACAGCAAAGATAGTGTTACCTTCCTCCTGACTGACTTCATCTTCGTAGTCAAACAAGGTGGTGTCAACATTCGTTCCCAACTTCATTTTTTTTCGTGTAGATACATAAAATTGAACAATAACAGCACATATGAGTATTCATTATTACCACTGATAACCGTAGTAGACCTCCTTGTATAACACCAGGTTAGAAAACATGCAAAGTCTTAACAAAATTTAAGATATATATTAAACATTGTCAACTTGCCTATGTATAGTTACAATACTGTAGTAGTCTATATGTTATATATTTTTAAAAAACTTCCATATATATATATATTGTCTACAGAATCGTTTTTATGTTATAAAATACTTTTTGAGCATGCCAAACATAACCTATGAACAATTTCACATTATCATGAAGATTGGATTATCGATGAAAATTATGGAAAATACCGATAGATTTTCTGTTTTTGTATCTGTTCTGTTTTTGTATCAGATACAAAACAGTTTATTTTATTACGCATATTTTAAAGAAATGTGCAGCAATAATACCTCATAAATATGTACTTTGCTAAAGTAATTTTTCCTCTGGTTTACTTAAGGTTGAGATTGTGTTACAGGTTTTGTTTGGTTTTATTTGTTTAACGTCCTAACGACAGCTAAGATCATTCCAGGACGTGCCTCCATGTGTGTTGTACATGCATGCATATGTGTATGTGTGCCGGAGACAGGGTATGTTGGTATATTTGCCTCCCTGTGATAACACAGATCTGATGTAGACTTTATAGTGCTATCTCACTGTAATACCATGCCGAATGCATTCAGAACAGCATCCCGCCCGGTCTCATTATACTGACTACGGATGAACCAGTTGGTGCCATTTCCCAAAATGCTGAACGTTAAGCAGGGAATAACAACGACCATTTTAAGGACTTTGGTATGTCCCGGCTTGGGGATATAACCCATTGCCTTCCTGACCTAGTTGAACGCTCAACATTATCGAAGTCAAAAGTGAGGTATTGCCAAGCATGGCGCTAGAGAAAAAAGGCAGTCAGAAGTAGAGAGAAATATAAAGATCCCAAACATTGCAATAGGTGCAGCAGATTAATTTTTGTCGCTTTTGTGTCCCCAAGGCATAAAAACAAATCCCCAAATCAGCAGGAGTTCCCGCAATAGTCGCCTCTTAAGATGCAGTGGGTAACAGCAGGTTTATTGTTTTATCAATCTCCGACCTGCAGGGATGTTGTGTTATAGACAAAGATATGCAGATAAATAAAAAGGAATAAACAATCTTGATAACAAAACTAATATACACTTGATTATTATTTTATTTTGTCTTTAGCCCATACATAAAACAAAATATGAAGGACAATTACATTATTATATATCTTTTACTATAAACAAATAAAGCAAGGAAAAATATACTTGTCTGACTCCTCAAACAAAAAATTCTTTTAGCACTTTTGATTCTTGTGACCTTGAACGGAGGTCAATGTCACTAACGTTTACAAAACATTTATCCATTCACACGAACAACTAGCTTGTCAAAAGAAGCACAAGTTAAAGGAAAAGTGGAAAGAAAGTGATGGTTTTCTTTTTTAAAATTAAAGGTAATATACATGTACATTGTATGAAAAATTTATCGGTTGTCATTTTTTGGGAATTCCTGATGTTGAATGATATTATTGGTAGCCAACTTTTAAGCAAGTATGAAACATAGACTTGTTTTATAACTATGCATATTAACGTGAATTCTCTCATTAGTAATGAAATTTCATATACTTTTCTACCTAACTCTCAATAAAAAGAACAATTCTCTGTTGAAACAACATTCGGTATCAAAATAACAGTTGGAATATGTTGCAAATGATGATGATATAACTTTATAGTAATTTTCTCATTTAAATGTTCGGGTAGAGATTCATTACCGTGCCTTTAACACCCACACTGGTGAAAGTCAATGAGGTCCCATTTGGCAACAAATGAATTCTGAAACTAACGGTTCCTGATTTAAGCTTCCTATACCAATACTTTTTTGGAATTTATCTTGTTTTGAAATTCCAAGCGGGGGCCGACGCTAATGTAAATCGCCATAGGCGTTGCCCCTACCTTAAGAAGTTTGGACTTCACCGTAGAGATACATCGCTGTACGTAATTCATTTGTATGAGTGTATCAACCACTTATGCTGTTTTATATTAACACTGACTTGCTGAGCTATCCTTAAAATAACACTTCCTGGTAGATCACTATTCGTTCTGTGTATGCGGTCGCTCTATTTGAATGAAAACTATAAAGAAAAGAATTGTTCATTCCAGTACTACCATTCGGAATGACTCGACGTACATTTATTCTCGGTGGTGTTGTACTCTACATCATCTGCTCAAACCTTCTACTGATTGTCGAGTTGTCGGGTAAGTTTTACATTCTGTCAGAGTGGTCTTTGTGACCCTTTCCTTATTATATGTATGTCGATAAAGGTTTTTTTTAATGAAATATTTCATTCAATGCATAACCTTAAATCCTGACATCAGACATGTTTATACCAGGTGTATATATTTGCTAATTACATGTGTGCCATTTGGAATGTACAATAGTTTTCGTTTGAATAAACACGTATACCAACCAACTATTTGCAAAAGAGTATCTCCCTTTGCAACGTTGAATGCCTGTGAATGCAATGATAGATCTGTGTAAATATGCCCCCTAAAATTCAGATACTCTTACTATATTTCCAATGATTTTCAAACTTACCTTTTAATTAAATTAAGTGTCGGCCCAATGTCATCCTAAGCAAAAAAAAGAAAATATAACATGGCGAAGCGACCAGAGGTTATCCTTCCAAAGTATCTTGCTTTCAACAGTTTTATGATTTAAAAAGGCCTTAAGGATGTACTCTTCTGAGTTTTCAATCAGTCTCGTTTTGATCATTTGTAACAGGTTTTTGTAATATTTAAAATGCTGTGATCAATTTAAATAGCAAACATGCAGCTGAAAAATGTGCCAAAAAATTAGATGCCTAATGTTTGTTGAAATTTTAAACAAGAATTTTTAGAAATGATCAATTTGGCGGCTAGTTTGAAAACATGTATTTCATGCGCTTCACGAAAGACCAAATATTCACCTTTTTGACACTAGGTTGATCACTGAAATCGTCATTGAGTCGCCATTTTTTATTGTAGCAAGATAAATTTTGCTCATCAATATGATGAAAATAATATGCATCTAAGTGGAAAAATATGCATGATTGGTATTTTTTTACATCTCTAGTATAACTGAAGCACTTGGATTTTTGATCCCGAAAAAGGTGAATATAACACATTTAATAATGTAACAAAAAAAGCGCATGGACCCATTTTTGTTGCTGTCTTAGAGAGAGAAACACATTTTCTTTTGATTCATTATTTTATTTTATTTTATCAAGCGTTTAATCTACAAAAATTGGTGAAAAAATTATTATTTTTTCATTAACAAATAGGGGTAAGAAATTTTACTTAGATAATTTTATTAAAAAAGGCTATATTTAGCAATTCTGCAAACATTCATACATCTGATAACACACTTGGAAGATATTTTATTAAAATTATTCTGCAAATGGCCAAAACTAAAATAATCACCTAAAATCACATATTACGTTAAATTGGTATTTGACCGTTCAGGATTCACACAACTAAATCATTTACTACATGTAATTACCTAACCTTTTAGCTAATAACTTTAATATTTGAAGTACAAAACTAGTGACAACTGTCTAGGTTCATAAATACATACCTTGCAAAAGCTACAGAATGGCTTTTTTGGTAGGTTTAGTGGCATATTGGAGGCGTCACAGCGGCAAGAAGTTGAGAACCGGAAGTTTACAAGCAAAACCGGTGACCCAAAACAGGAACGCTTCCAGAAATTTTGTCCCTGTGCAAAACCGCACACAGACATGGAAATATATCAAAAGTATATATTTTTCAAAAGTAAAATACCTGAACATTTCATTTATCTAAATATCTGTGATCAGTTTCTTATTAAACTCCTTCAGTGGCCCAGTAATTAGCCGGAACTTATTTCAGATAGGAACTACAAACGTATGAAACACTTGCTGATTGGATGATTTAGTTGTGTAAGTCCTTAATAGCATAAAAACGAAATCCGGATAACTTTTGTTTTGTTTTTTGCATTTTTTATTTTCTGTATACTAAAACTCCTTTTTCAAAAAATGCATATAAGAACAAAAATGTTTAATTCAGGATTTTTTTCACTTCTTAGAGATATACATCCTTAAAAGTCAGGTAATATGAAATTTGAATCAGATGAGAAATCCTGTAGGTATTTCTTTGTCAATTTTTCTTTCACAAAACCCGAATAAGTCGAGGTATAATATAATCGAGTATTGTATAAAATGTTCGATTTATTTTATAATAGGCTCACATACATATTAACGGTTCATCCATACATATAAATAAAATAGCGTGCAACAGAAGCAGTTTCATGAAGAAAAAACTAATATTTCCGTCGCCATCGTCATCATCAGCAACAGTAGTAGCACGATTATTATATCTTTAGGGTTTATGTATCACGATTAGCTTCGGAGGAAAAAAGAATCGTGTTTCCATATTTAAATGTGCCGAAAAAATCAAACACACTAACACAATGGTAGAGATGATCAGCTTGACGCGCCATTGTTGTCGTTCCAGGGTAAGAGAATAATAGAATAGTACATGGGTCTGTTCCTTGGACAGGGATATCTCAACCCGAGTGTAAGAGTTTGGCTGGCCAGCCGAACTCTTACACGAGAGTTAAGATATACCTGTGTATGGAACAGACCCATGTTTTAAATTTTTCTCACATACATACAAATAAACAAATTCCAGTCGAAATAAACATCGATCTTATTCCTCCGGGAAACCCCGAAGCCCTAGGGTTGAGACGGATGATTCCCCATTCACAACATCTTTTGGTGGTTTTGGCGGAAATAAAGTTGGAACGGATGTTTCTGTGAATTCCCCTTCAAAATGATCCGAACAAACTCACGTGTTGTCATTTACAATTAGATTAGCTCGAACATTGCGCAGACGCCGTATCCATTGTTGTTTTATGTGACTCCTACTTTCTGCCATTGGAAGCATATGCAAGGTAACTTTTTTCCCCTCTTCAGTTAGAGTAGCTGATGTATTGGAACATCCTGGTACACAACAGTATTTACGTCCCATCTACAAAATATTGTAACATGATTTATTGACTGTACATGTAGGAAAAAAGCGCTTTTTTATTTATTTCAGGTTATGCCCAATGTTATAAAGTTCGTGATTTGTGGGTAGCTTGCCAAACAACTTTTTACTTTTGGTACAAAATGACTTTTGAAATCCTGTATTTCTAAAAATGATAATTCACACAAGAAAGAAGAATTGCAGTTTCGTTTGATGTAAGAACATGCTTCTCGTATCATTTTTTGTCTATCATAAATCACAACATAGCTGAAAAATGTCTATCATCGGCATGAGTGACATTTCATAACGCCATCGCGTCAATAATCCCATGGTTTTTTGCCGATATTAGATTTCTCTTTAACATAAATGACAATCGTCTTTTGTCAACAAAGGTAAACGTCTATCGAGATGCCATCTGTAGTTTATCGAAGATTTTATTTCCCATGTACAGTATACGATTTAAACGCCTCAGGTAATCTTCATTGATTTTGATGAGCGATAAGTAAATACCGGAATGGTTACGAAAATCCATCCGGGATTGCGATAGCGGAACTGTGCCATCGTATGAAATCACGGAAACAATAAAATGACGTCACGTCGACAATCCATTATTATGACGTCATAGAGCGTGTCCGCTGTCTTTCCCTACCCCGTGTAAGATAGAGTTATCTTTTCCCTAGCAACAACGGGATCACCCTGTAAAGTATGTGAGAAATACATTTCCTTAAAGTTTAGATACAAGACTATAATTGTAACATTGGCAAACTTTTTTGTTTATTAAAGTGAATGGTCAAAGGTCATCGTTAGTGATAATGTGTATTTACGATATCACGAAAGATGACGCAGCAACACCATGTTATCTGAGAAACGTTTCCTGCTTTGGATGATGTTAATTTTTTAGAACGAACTCGGACGTGCAGTTCAGATAGATCCTATATCAAATGATAAAGATTTAGAGTTTTTCATAGTTAGTTTTCATTTCACAAAACCCAAATAAGGCGAGTTCCAATTTCCGTGGATTTTACAAACTATTGGATTCATTTTCTCTGAACACGTACACATATAAAGGTTCACTATAATAGTAATCCTTTTTCAATACACATTCACACAAAATAATCAGTATCGTGAAAAGAACCATTATATATTTTCGTCGTGGGTAGCAGCATCGTTATCCTCATGCGTGTCGAACGCATCAATTTTGATTAAATTGGCAACTGATGGTAACTGCATTATATGCCAAATAATTTGTTTATTTCAAAATATTTTATTTTTAATTAATATAATTCTAAGGAATTTGGACAACAGGCAAAACATATACAAGCCTTCTCCTTGAAGACAAGTCATCACAGTTGATATGTTATCAGTAATGATGGCCGTCTTCTGTCTATTATATTTGTGAAAAATTGATCTCATATTATATACATATTATATTGACCAAATGTCACACTTATTACGAAAGACCTTTGTTATGGCTATGTCTGATTTATGCTTACTTATCACTGGATACTATTGTTTGTTTCAGAAATTGTCTCTCGAAAAAAACCAACACACCAAAGCAGTACTTATAAATTCGAAGGAACGGTTTTACATTTATCTGGAAATGCCGTCGATGGTAACACAAATCAAGAACTGGGCAACAATTCATGTACGTACCAGGCCGTAGGACGCAAAGAAGTATGGTGGAGAGTGGACCTAGAGAGAGAAGTCACCATAGACAAGGTGGAAATATATTACAGAGATGAAGGTTACCAATGGAGTAAGTATGTTTATCATGGTAATGTGTATTACAACAATGAAGTAGTAGGAAAGGATATGCATACAATTTACCTTGGTTTAATGATTCGTTTTCTTTGTCTTACTCTAAATACATTGTCTATGGGTAAATCGTTAAAAACACGGTCAATGATAAATGCACTTAAAATCACTGACGTCCCGCATATGATCCTATTGATTTTGTAATTATGTTGTCTAGTTAAGATTTGTTTTAAACAGCGTTTTTAAAATGATCAACTTCACGATTTCAATATAACTAGATAATACTATAATAGATATGTGTGTATTAAAACATTGATTAAGCTGAAGTCTTGTCCTATTTTATGAAAAGAAATCATTTGATTTACATCATTGTAGCTGGATGGAAAAATCGATTCGCCGGCTACGAGGTGTACCTTTCAAATACAACCGATAGACTTACAGGAGAGCGATGTTTCATTGATGAATCAGAGAGTGTCGACCAAATTATAAGTCATGTTAACCACCCAGAATGTAATGGAACAGCGCAGTATGTGACTATATACAACCACAGAGAATCACCTAAGAGGCACGATTGGTACTTCAAAGACGCCCTCCTAGAACTGTGTGAAGTACAGGTGTATGGTAAGTTACTTGTTAAAAATATTAGAAATGATAATATACTCTTTAAACGATGATTCAATAGCTGATTTGATTATTAAATGGACAAATGCTCTTGCTAATTTGGGAATACTGCTGACATTAATGATAACAAACACGAACAACTTATCATGTATAAGGTCATAAACATACTGGTGTTACATGTATCTTATTTCTGTGTAACATGTATCTAATCTCTGTGTTACATGTATCTAAATTTTGTGTTACATGTATCTTATGTCTGTGTGACATGTATTTCTGTGTTACATGTATCTTATTTCTGTGTTACATGTATCTTATTTCTGTGTTACATGTATCTTATTTCTGTGTTTCATGTATCTAATCTCTGTGTTATATGCATCTTATTTCTGTGTAACATGTTTCTAATCTCTGTGTTACATGTGTCTTATTTCTGTGTTACATGCATCTTATTTCTGTGTCACGTGTATCTTATTTCTGTGTTACGTGTATCTTATTTCTGTGTGACATGTATCTTATTTCTGTGTAACATGTATCTTATGTCTGTGTGACATGTATCTTATTTCTGCTTCACATGTATCTTATTTCTGTGTTACATGTATCTTATTTCTGTGGAGATAATAAAACAATACTATTACTGAGAGTCCTTTATCACACAAGAACACAGCATAATACTATTACTTATTTCTGTGTTACGTGTATCTTATTTCTGTGTTACATGTATCTTATTTCTGTGTTACATGTATCTTATTTCTGTGGAAATAATAAAACAATACTATTACTGAGAGTCCTGTATCACACAAGAACACAGCATAATACTATTACTGACAGCCCTGTATCACACTAGACGTCAACATATTAGTATTACTGACAGTCCTGTATTACACAAGAACACAGCACATTACTATTACTGACAGCCCTGTATCACACAAGATCACATCATAATACTATTACTGAGAGTCCTTTATCACACAAGAACACAGCATAACACTATTACTGACAGTACAAAACTATTACTGACAGTCCTGAATCACACTAGACGTCAACATATTACTATTACTGACAGTACAAAACTATAACTGACAGTCTTGTATCACCCTAGAACACAGAACAAAACTATTACTGACAGTGCTGTATAAAACAAGATTTCAGCACAATACCATTACCGACAGTCATGTATCACACAAGAACACAGCATAACACTATTACTGACAGGCCTGTATCACACAAGATCACATCATAATACTATTACTGAGAGTCCTTTATCACACAAGAACACAGCACATTACTATTACTGACACTCCTGTATCACGCAAGAACACAGCATAACACTATTACTGACAGTCCTGTATCGTCATGTATAACACTAGATTTCAGCAAAATACTATCACTGACAGTCCTGTATAACACAAGAGCACATCATAATACTATTACTAACAGTCCTGTATCACGCTAGAACACAGATCAAGACTATTACTGACAGTCATGTCTCACACTAGACGTCAACATATTACTATTACTGACACTCCTGTATCACACTATAACACAGTACAAAACTATAACTGACAGTCTTGTAACACACTAGAACACAGTACAAAACTATTACTGACAGTACAAAACTATAACTGACAGTCTTGTAACACACTAGAACACAGTACGAAACTATTACTGACAGTCATGTATCACACTAGATATCAACATATTACTATTACTGACAGTCCTGTATCACACTAGAACACAGTACAAAACTATAACTGACAGTCTTGTATCACACTAGAACACAGATCAATACTATTACTGACAGTCCTGTATCAAACAAGATTTCAGCACAATACTATTACCGACAGTCATGTATCACACTAGATTTCAGCACAATACTATCACTGACATCCTGTATCAAACTAAAACTGAACATAATACTATTACTGACAGTCATGTATCACACTAGATTTCATCACAATACTATTACCGACAGTCATGTATCACACTAGATTTCAGCACAATACTATTACTGATTACTGACAGTCCTGTATCACACTAGAACACAGCATAATACTACTACGGACAGCCCTGTATCACACTAGAACACAGCATAATACTACTACGGACAGCCCTGTATCACACTAGAACACAGCATAATACTACTACGGACAGCCCTGTATCACACTAGAACACAGCATAATACTATTACTGACAGTCCTTATCACACTAGAAAACAGCATAATACTATTACTGACAGTCCTGTATCACACAAGAACACAGAACAATACTATTACTGTCAGTCCTGTATCACACTAGAACACAGCATAATACTACTACGGACAGCCCTGTATCACACTAGAACACAGCATAATACTATTACTGACAGCCCTGTATCACACAAGAACACAGCATTAAACTATTACTGACAGTCCTGTATCATACAAGATTTCAGCACAATACTATTATCGACATTCATGTATCACACCAGATTTCAGCACAATACTATCACTGACATCCTGTATCAAACTAGAACTCAGCACAATCCTATAACCGACAGTCATGTATCACACTAGATTTCAGGACAATCCTATCACTGACATCCTGTATCAAACTAAAACTGAACATAATACTATTACTGACAGTCATGTATCACACTAGATTTCAGCACAATACTATTACCGACAGTCATGTATCACACTAGATTTCAGCACAATACTATCACTGATTACTGACAGTCCTGTATCACACTAGAACACGGGACAAAACTATTACTGACAGTCCTGTATCACACTAGAACACAGTACAAAACTATAACTGACAGTCTTGTATCACACTAGAACACAGATCAATACTATTACTGACAGTCCTGTATCAAACAAGATTTCAGCACAGTACTATTATCGACATTCATGTATCACACTAGATTTCAGCACAATACTATTACTGATTACTGACAGTCCTGTATCACACTAGAACACGGAACAAAACTATTACTGACAGTCCTGTATCACACTAGAACACAGTACAAAACTATTACTGACAGTCCTGTATCACGCTAGAACACAGATCAATACTATTACTGACAGTCCTGTATCAAACAAGATTTCAGCACAATACTATTATCGACATTCATGTATCACACTAGATTTCAGCACAATACTATCACTGATTACTGACAGTCCTGTATCACACTAGAACACGGTACAAAACTATTACTGACAGTCCTGTATCACACTAGAACACGGTACAAAACTATTACTGACAGTCCTGTATCACGCTAGAACAAAGATCAATACTATTACTGACAGTCCTGTATCAAACAAGATTTCAGCACAATACTATTATCGACATTCATGTATCACACTAGATTTCAGCACAATACTATCACTGACAGTTTTGTGTCAAACTAGCACTCTGAACAATACTATTACTGACAGTCTTGTATCAGGATATAACTCAGCACAATACTATCACTGACAGCCCTGTGTCACACTTGAACTCAGCACATTACTATCACGGACAGCCCTGTGTCACACTTGAACTCAGCACAATACTATGAGTGACAGCCCTGTGTCACACTAGAACTCATTACTATGTTATATCTGTCAGTCCTGTATCACACTAAAACTCAGCACAATACTATCACTGACAGTCCTGTATCAAACAAGATTTCAGCACAATACTATTACCGACAGTCATCTATCACACCAGATTTCAGGACAATACTATCACTGACATCCTGTATCAAACTAGAACTCTGCACAATACTATTACTGACATCCTGTATCAAACTAGAACTCTGCACAATACTATTACTGACATCCTGTATCAAACTAGAACTCAACATAATGCTATTATTGACACAGTACAAAACTATAACTGACAGTCGTGTATCACACTAGAACACAGATCAATACTGTTACCGACAGTCCTGTATCAAACAAGATCTCAGCACAATACTATTACCGACATTCATGTGTCACACTAGATTTCAGCACAATACTATCTCTGTCATCCTGTATCAAACTAGATCTCAACATAATCCTATTACTGACAGTCATGTATCACACTAGATTTCAGGACAATACTATCACTGACATCCTGTATCAAACTAGAACTAAACATAATACTATTACTCACAGTCCTGTATCACACTAGATTTCAGCACAATACTATTACCGACATTCATGTATCGCACTAGATTTCAGCACAATACTATCACTGACATCCTGTATCAAACTAGAACTAAACATAATACTACTACTGACAGTCCTGTATCACACTAGATTTCAGCACAATAATATTCCCGACAGTCATGTATCACACTAGATTTCAGGACAATACTATCACTGACATCCTGTATCAAACTAGAACTAAACATAATACTACTACTGACAGTCCTGTATCACACTAGATTTCAGCACAATAATATTCCCGACAGTCATGTATCACACTAGATTTCAGGACAATACTATCACTGACATCCTGTATCAAACTAGAACTACTGACATCCTGTATCAAACTAGAACTCTGCACAATACTATTACTGACATCCTGTATCTGACAGTTTTGTGTCAAACTAGCACTCTGAACAATACTATTACTGACAGCCCCTGTATCACACTAGATTTCAGCACAATAATATTCCCGACAGTCATGTATCACACTAGATTTCAGCACAATAATATTCCCGACAGTCATGTATCACACTAGATTTCAGGACAATACTATCACTGACATCCTGTATCAAACTAGAACTACTGACATCCTGTATCAAACTAGAACTCTGCACAATACTATTACTGACATCCTGTATCAACCTAGAACTCAGCACAATACTATAACCGACAGTCATGTATCACACTAGATTTCAGGACAATACTATCACTGACATCCTGTATCAAACTAGAACTCTGCACAATACTATTACTGACATCCTGTATCTGACAGTTTTGTGTCAAACTAGCACTCTGAACAATACTATTACTGACAGCCCCTGTATCACACTAGATTTCAGCACAATACTATCACTGACATCCTGTATCAAACTAGAACTAAACATAATACTATTACTGACAGTCCTGTATCACACTAGAACACAGATCAATACTATTACCGACAGTCCTGTATCAAACAAGATTTCAGCACAATACTATTACCGACATTCATGTATCACACTAGATTTCAGCACAATACTATCACTGACATCCTGTATCAAACTAGAACTAAACATAATACTACTACTGACAGTCCTGTATCACACTAGATTTCAGCACAATACTATTACCGACAGTCATGTATCACACTAGATTTCAGGACAATACTATCACTGACATCCTGTATCAAACTAGAACTCTGCACAATACTATTACTGACATCCTGTATCAAACTAGAACTCAGCATAATACTATAACCAACAGTCATGTATCACACTAGATTTCAGCACAATACTATCACTGACATCCTGTATCAAACTAGAACTCAACATAATACTATTACTGACAGCCCCTGTATCACACTAGATTTCAGCACAATACTATTACCGACAGTCATGTATCACACTAGATTTCAGGACAATACTATCACTGACATCCTGTATCAAACTAGAACTCAGCACAATACTATTACTGACATCCTGTATCAAACTAGAACTCAGCACAATACTATAACCGACAGTCATGTATCACACTAGATTTCAGCACAATACTATCACTGACATCCTGTATCAAACTAGAACTCAACATAATACTATTACTGACAGTCATGTATCACACTAGATTTCAGCACAATACTATTACCGACAGTCATGTATCACACTAGATTTCAGGACAATACTATCACTGACATCCTGTATCAAACTAGAACTCAGCACAATACTATTACTGACATCCTGTATCAAACTAGAACTCAGCACAATACTATAACCGACAGTCATGTATCACACTAGATTTCAGCACAATACTATCACTGACATCCTGTATCAAACTAGAACTCAACATAATACTATTACTGACAGTCATGTATCACACTAGATTTCAGCACAATACTATTACCGACAGTCATGTATCACACTAGATTTCAGGACAATACTATCACTGACATCCTGTATCAAACTAGAACTCAGCACAATACTATTACTGACATCCTGTATCAAACTAGAACTCAGCACAATACTATAACCGACAGTCATGTATCACACTAGATTTCAGCACAATACTATCACTGACAGTTTTGTGTCAAACTAGCACTCTGAACAATACTATTACTGACAGCCCCTGTATCACACAAGAACACAGCATAATACTATTACTGACAGTCCTGTATCACACAAGAACACAGCATAATACTATTACTGACAGCCCTGTATCACACTAGAACACAGCATAATACTATCACTGCAAGCCCTGTATCACACAAGAACACAGCATTAAACTATTACTGACAGTCCTGTATCATACAAGGACTCAGCATAATAATTACTGACAGCCCTGTATCACACTAGAACACAGCATAATACTATTACTGACAGCCCTGTTTCGGGGTATACCTCATCACACTACTGTACCTGTGAGTCCTGTATCACACTAGAACTCATCAATATAGTTCACCTGTCAGTCCTGTATCAAGTTAGAAATCATCACTATACTGTACCTGTGAGTCCTGTATCACACTAGAACTCATCACTGTACTGTACCTGTGAGTCCTGTATCACAAAACTCAGCACAATACTATCACTGACAGTCCTGTATCAAACTAGAACTCATCAATACACTATACCTGTCAGTCCTGTATCATAATAGAACTCATCACTGTACTGTACCTGTGAGTCCTCTATCACACTAGAACTCATAACTATACTGTACCTGTGAGATTCATGTATCACACTAGATTTCAAGACAATACTATCACTGACAGTCCTGTATCACACAAGAACTCATCACTATACTGTAGTCCTGTATCACACTAGAACTCATCACTATACTGTACCTGTCAGTCCTGTATCACACAAGAACTCATCACTATACTGTACCTGTGAGTCCTGTATCACACTAGAACTCATCACTATACTGTACCTGTGAGTCCTGTATCACACAAGAACTCATCACACTACTGTACCTGTGAGTCCTGTATCACACTAGAACTCATCACTATACTGTACCTGTCAGTCCTGTATCATACTAGAACTCATCAATATAGTTCACCTGTCAGTCCTGTATCATACTAGAACTCATCACTGTACTGTACCTGTGAGTCCTGTATCATACTAGAACTCATCACTATACTGTACCTGTGAGTCCTGTATCACACTAGAACTCATCACTATACTGTACCTGTCAGTCCTGTATCATACTAGAACTCATCACTATACTGTACCTGTGAGTCCTGTATCACACAAGAACTCATCACACTACTGTACCTTTGAGTCCTGTATCACACAAGAACTCATCAATATAGTTCACCTGTCAGTCCTGTATCAAGTTAGAAATCATCACTATGCTATAATTGTCACTCCTGTACACACTAGAACTCATCACCATATTTACCTGTTAGACCTATACTAACCTGGAACTTATCATTATAACATATATTTCAGTTCTGTTTTACACTTAAAGCTATCCCTTTTTTAAACCTGTTGGTCCTGTTCAACTTTTGAACCCATGCATGTTTTATTGATATTACTTATAATAAACACATTAAAAGATAAAAGATAATAAATGTTTAACCATTATCCTATACACGGTTTACGTTTACAATTTAGGAGTTTATAATTAACTGATCATTGATTAGAGATATATTATTGTTCATATTAATAGCATTACTGAATTAAAATTTATTATAGATGCAAAAGCATAACAAAACTCTACATAAAGGGGGCATCTTAGCTGATATCTCAAATTATATTGACACAGCTAAATAAGCATAGGTAATGCGCACTGTTCTAATATCTAGGTAACACATTTAACTAACTTCCCTTTACTTGAAGTGAGATTCGTCGGCTTGGTATAAATGATAAATGCTAAGTTTTTCTTTGACACAAACAATAAATGAAAACGTATTTTGCGAGATTTCGAAAACGTCTGTTTTCTTTGTAATTTTGCAGTCTTTGCCTGACAAAAAGTAAAATACGTTTTCGAAAGTTCGCAAAAAAGGTTTGACTTACTATTTGTATTCAAAACAAAGCATTTAATATTCCCTTACATTTTACAAATCATCTGTAATTAGATTTTGCGTAGGCAGATATAGCAGCGAAACCCTACCTATATAAACTGAAACGAGCAGCATTTAAGGGACGAAGAACAACGACCAGGAGGAAATGGAAGCAAAAAACAAATATGATAAACAAACACCACCTCGGCATGGGCTTGTTATTAATGTTTTTAAATCCAAAGATACATATTTCGCAGCAATAAACGAACTTAGGTTTATCATATCTATTCTACAACATGGAAATATAATTTAAAGTACTATTGTGACCAGTTTAGTGTGTATAAGAACATATTACCTTAATTGTCCAATTATTTTAATGATGTCATTCTTTTGTACGGTCAAAGGTATGCCAAGTGGTGTCCCATTTTCATTATAGCAATAAGTCGAGCACAGCAGATGTTATTTTTTATGCAAAATGCATCACATTTTCTATTCCAGACAGTTTAGCATAAGCGCATGTGGAAACGATTATGTATGCACTTTCATACGTGTTTCCTCTCTCTCTCGAAAGTCTATCCGCCCCAGACAAGTCTTATTTGTACTCACATATATTTTTGTCGAATAACGCATACTTCGTAATCAATGTAGTTACATCACCGACGTTGTAAAATAGCGAATAAAAGACAGAGGATATTATTGTTTTAAGAAAGACAGTTACCGTGAAGAATTAGAAAGAAGCTTGATTTTGTTTTGAGTAAGATCGTTAAAAAATGAAGTGAAATTGATGATAAACATTCGTAAAAAGGTATGTCTTTAATTAGGTGTTTTTTTCTTTGTTTTGTTTTTTATCCTTTCTTTGTTGATAAGTACTCGCATGCTGACACACAAATTTCATCCTATTTCTGAATGGCTAGGTAAGCATCATATGCCTGTGTAGATATGCTCCGCCAATTTATAAGTTCTTATTATTATTAATTTTTCGAAAGACAATAGCTTTTTGTTCATTAAATTGTATACCACGAATTAGTCTGTCTCTACTTCACTCTGCAGTCAGCAAATTAAATGTATTGCAAAATCACAATATCCTTCAACGAATTATCACTCTGTCCGCCAATGACTGCTGTCCATTCCAAACCCTAACGTATGGTATTATAATATGATATTCATTATACCGTGTATTTATGCATAAAGACCAGTTTTTAATCAATTAGATAGTAGGAGTTTTCGCGAACATCTGATTGAATTATCTTTTAAATATATATATTTTGAAAAAGAAAATGTATATCATTGTAGCAAAGGTAAGATAATTTAATTAGAAATGTGTATTACATTGTATAGCATCTATCAGGCTGAATACTCGTCATTTCGCCTGTCTAATTACAACATTAAAACAATGTATCTATTTAAAATATGTGTAGTCTTTTAATGTCTAGACTGAAATGAGATCTGGGAAATTAGAACAAGTTTTAACCAAGACCGTCTCACGTGAAATGTTTATCTATTTACGGACATATTTTCCGTAATACACTTTAACCTTTGGTTTAAATATCAAGTGTTTACACAGATTAACGCTGTCGTTACCGGGTTATAACGTACTGTTCATGGTTTTACAGGATGTGAAGCTGGGAAATACGGAAATAGAAATTGTGACGAAACCTGTTCCTCGAACTGTCCAGGCAGTGTGTGTCATCCAAGCTCAGGAAATTGTCTATGTATGTTCGACAAGGCATTTACAGTCATTTTAAAGTTGTTCTAATTTTCTTATCTACCTGATATTCGAAAATAATTTACATATAATGATGTAGATAACTACGGTATAAAAACCATATACGATGATAATCTATACTTAACGTTTATTATGCCCAACTGAGCTATTCGAATAAATCGTTCACGATTGCAAGTCGAAATGTATACACATATAATTATACAATCTAAGGGCATCCTTTATATGTCTGAGACGTGTGTACGTCCTTCTTCACCAGCTTCATCAACGGAAATGCTTTTCTAATTCGTTTGAGATGTAACAAGTGATGCCCGAATTATGATTGTTAATGACGTAAATGACCCCGACTGACCCGTCATGAAACTTTGAATATTCCTGACGTCACAAATCAACGGCAGAGACCTAGGATTTACAGAAACGCACAAAAACATCTTAAAATCGTCGGTTCTTTTGTTAATTTTAGCTGATAGGAATAAGAATGAGAGTAACCCTACTATACTCCGTGTTTCCAGTAAAACTCAATTTTCTAGAGTATAATCACGATCTCTACGCCTTAACTCTCAAAAAATACAGTAGGGTTATCCAATAATTATGACTTCATAAATAACACATGTATGATATCAGTTGTAAGAAATATATACTTTTTTGGTTTTATTCCATTAAAGACTGCGGGGACAACACATATACCAGACCATCGGAAACATCATGCCGGCCTTGTCCAGAATCTTGTGCTGGCCCATGTGATACTTACGGAAACTGTAATGGTAAGTTCACGATTACATACTGGTTTATCAATAATGCATTTCTATTTTGTTCTGACAATCAGGTTAAATGTCTGTTCAGTTGACCACGATGAATAAAGAAGACATCAATTTGTCATTCATAGACAAACATCTCTGCTATAATGAATATATATATATATGTATGTATTACCGAGGTCAAGTAATAGGTACTGAACAAGGTTATAGAAAACTTAATTTGGAACAGCCTTGTGCAATTGCAATAAAATTGTTTTGAAGCGACGGTAGATTACGTGGCGGTTTTTAGTACATTTACTAAGATATTACTATACCAAAACAATTGATAAGATTTCTGAAAGTAATTTTTTCCAGAAAATAGTAGAACATGGTAGAATATTGCATTGAGTATCCTATTTAAAATTGTGTGACGTCATTAGAACCTGGTGTCAAATAGTACAGTACCACTTCCTGCACTTTTTTGTGCAGCAATAGTTTCGTCACTCAGCCAATCAACCCGGCACATGTATTACCCACTCAACATTGCGTAACCCCCTCAACCACCTTAACAATTATATCCCCTTCCATGAACCCTTATCAATACCACCCCGCATGCTCCAACCCAATCCTGTATAAATATCCAACGCCTAACCCAACATCCCCCGACCCCCCTGGTCACACACACACACACACACACACACACACACACACACACACACACACACACACACACACTCATTAATACTTTTACTTACAAAATATTTATTAAATGTCGGAATAGAGAACAGTTACAGACGAAAGCCAAGGATAAGTTTTATAAGAACGAGAACATTTGTAATGAAGGAAAGTTTCCATAGTGTGCAAAGAACAGGATTCGGTTTCATGAATGGACACCAAAAACAAGGTTAATCAGCACTTGCATGTTACTTACCACTAACCGCTAACATACAGTCCGGCGGAAGGGACTATAAACGGTGTCCCGTGTGAGAAGGTCCAACCTGCACGTAAAAGACCCCTCTGTGTGTTGTCGTAAGAGTAGGTGTGTTAACGCCGGCACAGAGGATAGGGATAGGTTAGATAAGATTAATTTATTAAGATGATAAGACGAACTTCCAAAATATAGAACAAAACAAAAATCACAGGAAAGCCTGGATATGGTAGAAACGCCCTCCTCTTACTTCCGTGCCATACAAGACATCTTGATACGATATGGGCGACAAACCAAACACATTTACCAACCATTCGGACCAAGGAGTCGTCTCCCAAAACTCACGCCGACAGAACACCATTCCTGATATTCAGGGGTACTCACGTTTGCTCTCTTACACCCTTGTAATATGTCAAAGCAAAATTGAAGGCTCTATGTGCGCCACATTGTTGATAAGACAAGAACACTAGTTCGATCCTTTGATGTGCATCAAAAGAATCTCGCGGTCACGTAACGGTTAAAATTGACAGGCTTTGAAGTCGGGCGTCTCTCCTTTGTAATCTTCAAAGGACAGGTATCAGCCTAGCGATTGGTCAGTTATTTTAATCTGAGACCAATCAAACAGCTATCTTCGTGCCTTCAGTTTTGCCATGACATATTCCAGGGGTGTAAAGAGCGAAAGTAAGCGTAACCCCTGGATATCGAGGATGACAGAACACCGACCGCCGTCAGTGAGACGGAACCCGCATGGGTGGAGTGATGTAGGCGATAAACCCGTCAACCAATTCAACAAACCAACCAACCAACCAACCAACGAAAAAGAGACTCATCATTCCTCTGACTGACGTCGATCAGTTCAGACGCTCCCTGACTTACGCTCTACAAACCACACACGTCAGAAATGTCGTCTATACCACCAAAGCGTTGGGTAGCCATTTCACTCTAGTGCAATAATTATTATTGCCGATGTTTTGGGTATTTGAGATACTCCTTCGCAACCATAATGGGCGTGATGCATGATGGGATACTCCCAAAAGCAGACGATATGACCCAAAAAGGGAAAACTTATAGTGAAGCTGATGGTAATTCACGATCCAAGGGAAGCAACTCGATCTAAGGATAAATTACTTTTCTCCCAAAATACCGTCAATAGTGTTTACTCTGCGGTACTGGTCATCAGATTCTACTGTATTGTAAATAATATTATCCATTCTTCAATATTAAATGAACTCAGTATTTGTTTTCAAGTGTTTGTCAACTTCTTTCAATTTCCAAGACACTGGACAGGAGCTAACCTGAATGTATGTAACCCGCTCTGTTTCCCTATTTCTCCCATAAAGTCTTCCCCACAACATATCGGCCAGAAATACGGCGATGGGGTGGAAAACGTGACACTCATCACTATCACTACAGGAGTGTTGATAAAAAATTATACCGAAAAAAACATTTGCAAATAGTGAAATGAAATAGATTAGGAAATACCCTATATTTCTGTTAAGTTACAAATTATTATATCAATGTATACCTTTTGATTCTGGCGCTGGTTTAACAACACCTCGTTATGAATATTAATCAGTACACTGACAAAAACCAAACTCGCATATTGCAAGTTACAATTAATGCATTCATGATTCCATGCCAACTATTGTTCAACATTCAATATTATCTTTTTTAATAGAACATGGTTCGGTTTGAACATTGAGATATGAATATATGATGTTGTAATGAAAAGTGTACCTTTATTCCTGATTTAATTTAGCATGTCCAGATGGTTTCTACGGTTTTCAATGCGAAAACACATGCTCGTCTACCTGTAGCAGTAACGTTTGTGAGAAGGCAAATGGTGATTGTAAAGGTGTGTATAATATCAGCTCGAAGAATTGCCATTGTAAACAATCAATTTGTATAAATATGTTGAAGTTAGAAACAAAAATCACCTTACCATCAATTTATATTAACATTGGTGTCACTTTTTATCACTATGTTGATTAACTAGTTTTCATAAAAAATATACAGAAAATGTTTTGAGACCTGTGCAGTTAAACAGATTAAAATATGTTTCTTTATCTGTCTGTTATAATTATAAATAATTGTCTATATCTTATTCTGGTTTGATCTGTGTATAGGTAGTGTTTAAAGCAGTATCATGGCTAATATAACTTTGTTCATTCATGAATCCATGTAAACAATTGTTGAAACGTGATATTGCTTTAAATAGGATAATATTTGATAAAGTGAGATTTTGATTTTTTTTAATGCAAACAAATATTCCGTTCTTGATTTTATATAGCATGTCAAGAAGGCTTATACGGACATCAATGCAGAAATAACTGTTCGACTTCCTGTGGAAGTAGCGTATGTGACAAGACAGCAGGCGATTGTTCTGATTTGTATAGTTCATTACTCGTAAAACAGCCTTATAAAAGCAATTCATTGGTAAACATTATAAAGTTTATTGAGTTGAAAAAAATAATATTACGTTAATGTTTATATAATTTTCAGACAAAATTTAAATTCGGACCTTACAAAATCAAAAGAAAAAAGACTATTTGCTTTAAGATCAACAGAGATGAATCTAGAAACCGATTACTATTTAAGTAAAACCAACAAATATATTTGTCTTCTTTAATGAAGCTGTTTAATAAAAAAATATGTTCAGGACGATCACACATCTATAAAAAGATGTGGGCAGTTTTCTTTGCAAAAACATATTGTTACCTCTTTTTGGGGTTCTGTATGTCTTAAAATTAATACATACAAATACCTTGACCAAACAAAATATACTGCACATGGACTGTGTTGGGAACGCACCTTCACTGTTGGAAGACATTATTCTAATGAGACTAAATTCTACTCGGGCATATTTCACACCTGTAGTGCATGCACTTGTACAAAAGCATGCAACGTACATGTATGCTAAAGGACACCACTGTCCTTTATTGTATCAATAGCCTTCGTGGTGGATTGCACATTCTGAACAGATATTGAAACTGTCCAATATTAACACAAAGAGGGTGTGTGTTTGAAGTAAGATATAAGCCGAAAATTTAGAAATCTGTCAAGTTGTAAATTTATATAATTGCATATATTTGATATTTATTTCATCTCTACATGACAAATAAACATGTATTATCTCTCTTTTTTCAAGCTAACTATTGTTGAAAATCTAAATATCTTAAAAATGATTTTTATGGATTAAGTAAAAGATGGATGTTGCCATAAAAATAAGCTTATATTCCTTCTTTTTATACAGCATGTCAAGATGGCTTCTGGGGCATTCGATGCATATATGATTGTTCAGATACCTGTGAAAGTGGCGTATGTGAGAAGACACTAGGCCATTGTACTGGTATGTAAGGTATATACATAACAAAATTAATAAAAACATTGACCTTCCCAGACAAATTTAACATTCTGTCACGAAGTAAAACAGCTATTATACAGTTTTGATATACCAACAACAAAAGTATCCCGACCGGCATCGCCGGATACCCACTGTTGGTTTCGCTTTTGCACTCACTCATCACCCGTTTTGCAAACGAAGAACGTCTGCTTCGTCTGGGTCTCGGAAACGCTTATGGACTTTATCGTATCGTTTGCGATGGAAGTAGAGATGTTCAGAATGAACATGACAAACGCAATGTCCGATCAGAATGAACGAAGCCAAATATTCTGCAAAAATATGAATGTTCATTCCGGGTAAATAGCTCTAATGACTATTTACCTGGTAAAAAAAATTTTTGAAAGAGGTTATTTTGAATATCAATTCTATTTCATACTTTTATACAGTGTAAAAAAGAAGAAAGGTATAATAAATGCTTTTAGATAAGCGTCTAGAAACTAATTATCTGTTAAATAGTTTTGAACCAATAACCTATCGTTTTTAATGAACAATATGTTCAAGAAGGTCACACATTTATATTTTTTTTAACACTTTCTTGTAAAATAAAGGTACTGAAGGGCCTTTGGTGTTTTTTTTGTACGTCTAAAAAGTTGTCTTCGTTATAAGCTCACCTGGTCCCAAAGGTCCTAATGAGATTATGCCGATGCGCATCGTCCATCCGTCGTAAACTTTATATTCTGAACAAGTTCTTATAAATAACAATAAGGTCACAGTGGTACTTTTTAACCACTTAGATCATATATACCAATAGCTTGCCTGTAGCTTTACTTTAGTCCACTTTCGTGGTTACAAGTGTAAAATTAACACCAGATAAATAATGCTGACAAATTGTTTTTTTTGCTAATAAATACGAATACTCAATGATCAAACATGATTTTGGACATTTCAATGTGTTTGCGAGAATAGGACAGAATCTGTTTTACAATTGTTCGTTCCTCATTACTTATCTTTATAAGGTGGACCAAAAGTCCTGAGACTATTGCGAAATGATTTCGTCAACATTAACTTATTTGTCTTTAGTTGTAGCTTAACCTTATTTTCGCCCGTCTCATAGGATATGCTTTCTCTGTCAACGGGTTTGGCAGAATTCACATGGAAGGTAACATTGCGTTGACGTCGCAGAAATAAAATATGTGCTGTCATGAATGACTTTCAATAGGACATGTCATACCTAAACATAGATTACAAAAACTGGCTACCGTTGTTTTCAAACATTTTATTGTCTGCTATTTGTTTAGATATGTCAGCGTGAAAATTAATCATTTTCAAGTAGCAGTCCCGCTTTCCCAATTTTCATGTCGCAGTTTTTGGTATTGAAGAGTTGGCTCCCTTTAAACTGACTGCCGTGAAAATTGTCGACGGTGAGAGACAAACTTACAAAACAGGATTTAGAGTGATGAATATTTTTAGGACTGACTGACCGCCAGGGGCTGATTGGTGGGGCCAAAAAGGGTTGAATTGACTGAAATTTCAAAAATCGTTTTCTCAAGACCTAGGTATGGTAGAATCAAATACTCTTCATAGATGGAAGGGTCTTAAGGTGCTTTACCAATATTGTGAATTTCATGACCCTGGGAACTCACGTTTCCCCCTGGGGAGGGGATACACTTTACTATCGTTTATATAGGGAAATCACATTTTGGACTAGCATTTGTTTAATTTCCATCAGAATTAATTCAAACTTGGTTAGCATTATCAGTATTTAAATAGCAGTTTAATGATATGCACAAATCAGCCCCACTAACTGACCTCCAGGGGCTAATGGGTGGGGCCAGAAAGGGTTGAATTGACTGAAATTTCAATAATCTTCTTCTCAAGACCAAGATATGGTAGAATCAAATACTTTTCATAGATTGAAGGGTCTTAAGGTGCTTTACCAAAATTGTGAATTTTATGACCCTGGGGTCTCACGTTTCCCCCTGGGGAGGGGATAAACTTTACCATACATGTAGTTTATATAGGGAAATCACATTTTGGACCAGCATTTGTTTCATTTCCATCGGAATTAGTTCAAACTTGGTTAGCATTATCAGTATTGGATAGCAGTTTAATTGTATGCACATATCAGCCCTGACTGACCCCCAGGGACTGATAGGTGGGGCCAAAAAGGGTTGAATTGACTGAAATAACAAAAATCGTCTTCTCAAGACCAAGATATGGTAGAATCAAATACTCTTCATAGATGGAAGGGTCATAATGTGCTTTACCAAAATTGTGAATTTCATGACCCCGGGTCTCACGTTTTCCCCTGGGGAGGGGATACACTTTACTATAGTTTATATAGGGAAATCACATTTTTGACCAACATTTGTTTCATTTCGTTCGGAATTAATTCAAACTTGGTTAGCATTATCAGTATTTGATAGCAGTTTGATGGTATGCACATATCAGCCCTTACTGACCTCCAGGGGCTGATGGATTGGGCCAAAAAGGGTTGAATTGACTGAAATTTCAATAATCTTCTTCTCAAGACCAAGATATGGTAGAATCAAATACTTTTCATAGATGGAAGGGTCTTAAGGTGCTTAACCAAAATTGTGAATTTCATGACCCTGGGTCTCACGTTTCCCCCTGGGGAGGGGATAAACTTTACTATACATGTAGTTTATATAGGGAAATCACATTTTGGACCAGCATTTGTTTCATTTCTATCGGAATTAATTCAAACTTGGTTAGCATTATCAGTATTAGATAGCAGTTTAATTGTATGCACATATCAGCCCTGACTGACCCTCAGGGACTGATGGGTAGGGTCAGAAAGGGTTGAATTGACTGAAATAACAAAAATCGTCTTCTCAAGACCAAGATATGGTAGAATCAAATACTCTTCATAGATGGAAGGGTCTTAAGGTGCTTTACCAAAATTGTGAATTTCATGACCCTGGGTCTCACGTTTCCCCCTGGGGGGGGGATAAACTTTACTATAGTTTATATAGGGAAATCACATTTTGGACCAATTTTAACATTTGTTTAATTTTCATCAGAATTAATTCAAACTTGGTTAGCATTATCAGTATTGGAAAGCAGTTTGATGGTATGCACATACCAGCCCTGACTGACCCCCAGGGGCTGATGCGTGGGGCCAGAAAGGGTTGAATTGACTGAAATTTCAAAAATCTTTTTCTAAAAACCTAGGTATGGTAGAAGCAAATACTCTTCATAGGTGGAAGGGTCTTAAGGTGCTGTACCAATATTGTGAATTTCATGACCATGGGGTATCACGTTTCCCCCTTGGGCAGGGGAAACACTTTACTATCGTTTATATAGGGAAATCACATTTTGGACTAGCATTTGTTTAATTTCCATCAGAATTAATTCAAACTTGGTTAGCATTATCAGTATTGGATAGCAGTTTGATGGTATGTACATATCAGCCCTGACTGACCCCGAGGGGTTGAATTGACTGAAATTTCAAAAATCTTCTTCTCAATTTCCAGATATGGTAGAATCAAATTCTAGGTGCTTTACCATAATTCAGCTGACTGACAGAACCACTATTTGTACATAGAACATATACTACCCAGATCTTTCACACTACTTTTGCATTACATGTAGTTCAAGTTACCTTTGTTACAAAATAATTTCTTTTTCATTTGGCAACATTGATTACATCAGTTTTTACATAACTCGGGTGACCGTTAAGGCCCATGGGCCTCTTGTTATGATTAATGATGATTTATTAGATATTAACTGATTATATGATCGCAAATTTAAACAAACTAATCGTCGACACAAACGATATGATGCGATGAAATGCATGAACATGATTCAATGAAAGATCAATGATGCGGAAACGTTGTATATTCTATTCGCTAAAATGAAACATAATGCTGTTACATTTCTGTATATGGACGTTTATCTTTTTATTATACTTATCTTGTTGTTGCGTTATGCTATTTTCGTGACTACTGCTTCAAAAAGCAGATTTGACCTAGAATTACATTGCGACGGTCGTTGATAAAGCGAAAAGATCTTACCCTTCCGGAATACCTGGTTTATGACTTGTATTTTTTTTAAATGCCCCCTTTCAATCTTTCCGGTGTTGATATATTTGAACAATGTATACGATGACAGATATGGCATATGCAATACACTTTGGAAAATCATGCATTCACAAGTTTCTGGGGTCAATTTAATTGTCTTCTCATGTTAAAGTAAACCTATAAGACGATTCATATCAATGACCTTATATAAGCCCTGCATGTTTACCTTATGAAGCGACTAATGTGAGAGGCGACCAACATTCAAAATTGTGTTCAGTGTTCTTTCCAGGTTCAAAATAGATACAATCGTTTTCTAGAATACGAAATTTTAATCCAATCACCTACGTATTGATCCATAAAACCATCTGCTACGTGACTGTTCGGCTATACTGGTTGGAATTAACTAACTCGGGTTACAAACTGCTACGTGACTGTTCGGCTGTACTGGTTGGAATTAACTAACTCAGGTTACAAACTGCTACGTGACCGTTCGGCTGTACTGGTTGGAATTAACTAACTCAGGTTACAAACTGCTACGTGACCGTTCGGCTGTACTGGTTGGAATTAACTAACTCAGGTTACAAACTGCTACGTGACCGTTCGGCTGTACTGGTTGGAATTAACTAACTCAGGTTACAAACTGCTACGTGACCGTTCGGCTGTACTGGTTGGAATTAACTAACTCAGGTTACAAAATGCTTCGATGTTTAACCTTTTTTTTCAATTGAAGCATATTATGTTAACGTGATATGTCGCGCATCCAGTCACCGATAAATGAAAAAATCATAGGTACTCTTGTGCTCCCCATATGCTTGACATACCATTTTGTTACCATGTGTTAGTTGAACGTGAAAACAATATCAAGGGACTGTATGAAATTTAGATATGAAAGTTAGGGAAATTCAACCTGGAGGTAACGAATTGAAGTAAAACCGGACTCTTTGTTTTCATGGTTTGCTCCAACCTCATAAGTCCTAAGGATGATTTAACAATACATTTTATTCTTAATTTTCGCGGCCTTTTTAAAATTATGAATGTCACTAGGAAACTGTCGAGTTACAAGCCGGCTTCCATGCTTGATATGACGTAATTTGATTATATATAAATACGTCATGTCGCCAGCTTTATTGTAAATTTGGTAAACATCTGTGAACAAAATAAATACAAATCGATGATTTACGTCATTGGGTATGTGAATAAATTATAACCGTTAACAGTTTCTAATTTTGGTCAAACTGTTTCCATATCTTATTTAAGCAATTAAAATTAATCAGCTTGTTAATGTCTTATACAAGATACATTTGATGTTTTCTGTCGTTGCCAGATGTTGATAGTAGCTTTGATCAATATGAATGTCCTATCTATAAGTATATTGATACCGTTACATTTATATGTAAACATTGTAGACAGGAAGCGAAATAATAACTACGATGACGATTACAGTTTTATCAATATTGTCAACACACCATTGTCTCCACTAAACCGTTTTTGTTTACTATAGCGGACAAACAGTCAGGGGTTGAAGCCATCATTGTAGGCGCATCCGCCGGAGCTGGAGTCGGGATTGCTGTCGTCCTTTTTGTTTTTATCGTGATTTTCAAAAGGTAAATGGGAACCAATTATGTAAATGTGATTAAACGGAAGAGTAACACCAATTTGACCAATATAATACGTCATCAATACACCATTGTAAACAGTATTTATTATTTTCTGTTAATATCTGAATACGTGTACATATTAAATGGGCAACATCAATTATTCACTCAACCATTCACAAAAAACTGTTACAATGTTCGACTGTATCTAGAGCGTATGTTGTTAACAAGGTCCTGGTCATATTAGTGTATGTAGTCACAAGGTTGGGCACCAATCGAGTGTACTTGACAGAATGAAAGACTTACACCAACTATATTAATAAATTCAATGCTTAGTTTCTACTCAACATAAAGAAGTTTGTATAGTACTACAGTGTGTAACACGGGAGGGAAATGTTTAATACGACATATATATATTAAAGTAATATACAAAGAAACAAATCTTAACATCACGCCTATGGAGCTTTCATCTCATCAAGGAGATGACACTATGACTTCATAAACTATGACGTCACATAATAGTTTGCTATAGCGACGTCCGCTATATATACATGTGTGTATCGATGGTCATTACGGCAATGTTCATTATCTTGCTGTTACCTGTCAGTGTATAATACTGACAGACGCTGTCGGATTAAGTGGACGAAACGTCTGTTTCTTGATGTGTCCATTTATTATGCCTGATTATATTTTGATATGAATTTATGTCATGTAAGTGATAAGTGACTCGATAAAGTAGCGAATTGCTCCTAACATTTGACAACCTCAGATTGTTTACACTGTCTGACTTACTTTCTTGCCCGTCTACCAATTTAAAGTAATGTTATCCGTACACTGTAAACATACGCTTGTAAAGATGCAGTGTCATACGGAAATTTGATATTACTTCTTTGGCCCATGTGTACAAACATATATATTCATCATTATATATATATACATATATACATATTAAAAGTGCAAAATCGCATATTCAAATGCATTTAGGAAGTTCGGCTTCAATGTTTGATTGTTTCGATATAAACCTGCATGTTTAAAAAACACGGATTTCTATAAAAAAAAAAAATGATAAAACAAATAAGAAAAATATCATTGTTTTGAGCCATCTAAACGTTGTTTTCAATGCGGCATGTTTTTTTTTTACTTTAATCATTACTTTAATTAGAAGATCGACCACACTGAGGGAAATGACAACAGCACCATCCGTGAAATACGAAAAGCCAATCCCTAGAGGCAACTCAAAAAATAATTCAGGTAAGTAACCGGGTTACTCTTACTACAGTATTCATTTAGGAAAATATTGTATCCTATAGCGCAATAGCTATAACTTGCGATGATATTTATGCCGAAAATAACTGAAAAATGTTTTTTTCCCTTATTTACATGAGTATTTTATGCGTCAAGCATATGTAAATACTATTGTCATAATTGTGAATTTGTGAGTTAATATATACTCGCATCAAATATCATAATGCAAGTCTTATTTAGGATACAACCTGTCGAAGTAGTCTTTTTTGTAAAAACCGAGAAAATATATTTAAAGTGAGTGTATATGTACATTACGCACTTATGATTACATCAATAGCGCATTTATGATATCCACTCGAGTATTTAAATATACGTATCCGACTTTGATACAGTACTTGACTGATATGTGTGTTATACTAAAAACTGGATTCTATTTCAGACGAAACTGAAGAACATATCTATCTCGAAATTGAAAATGTAGACATACAGGACACGTCAAATGATCACGAAAATGTATACTATAACGAAGGATCAATGGGCTATCCAGTCCGTCAGCTGAAAACGATGATCGCTCAGAAAATGGCAGACGATGCAAAGCAGTTTGTATCCGAATTTAAAGTAAATATCTATCTTGATGTTCAATATTAATAGTTCATAAAATTAGCTATCTAAGCTTAGCCTGTCACTTATAAAGTGACCGTTGCCTTCATACACAAGTACACAATGAGGCATGATGGTAATATCCTTTTACATTTGTCAGTTGATTGAATTTGTTATATTTCCTCCAAATTGATACAACAATTCATATTTATATGATATGTAAAAGGGGAAAAATAGTGTGTTTAGTTCTAGAACGATGGTGTTTATCTTTTCTGCTGCAGCAATACTGCAATTTATTTGATACTGTCTTGACGGTATATCAGCGGAATTAAGTAATTCAAGGCTAAATCTTTTTAGAAATTGGTAAACTTTGATATAAGTGCTCTTAAGAGAAACACTAAATACTAATTAACTGTAGTTGAATTATCCTCTCCCAACGATAAACGTTTCATGTAATGTCGTAAAATGTGAAACATATATATTACCTTAGAGTAATGACTTATATACCGCAATGTTTTGTGCGGTATTTGTAATTCCAAATCTTGATTGATTGAAGTTGCTTGACGATGCATATACAGTGCAATGTTGTGTTTGTTCTAAATTATTAATATTTCTTATCAGATTTAAATATGAAGTAGTTGAATATGCACTTAAAAGAAGTGATGTGTATGTTTTTTCAAGCAAACTTCAAGGAAAAACCAGGATGTTCCAGGGGAAAACAGGCACATACCAAAACAACTGTGTGTGCCTTGCATAAATGTGCATAATAGTGCACATTTTGGGTTTGGTATAAACCGTTTAACCCCAAAATAATCTTGATGGTTTCTGAAGTATGTATGGACTTTGTCCTCATACACAATAACACTTTTTTGATTACAACTGTTACAGGTAAACTTATTTGATTGCTTAACCCTCTGTCAAGCGAGCGTTATGTACATTTCCGACGATAGTTTAAAAAATGCAATACATAAACAATTTCTATTGTCAAAAAAGGATTATATATTAATGTATACAAAAAATAGTCTTTTCCATGCAATATCAACTTATTGTTTTTTAGACATTCCCTCTCGGAGCAACTCATCCTCATACGAATTCAGAAAAGAATAAGTCTAAAAATAGATACAAGTCTATACATCCATGTAAGTAGAAAAATGAAACTGCCTTTATATCTTGAATTACAAAGGGATTTTTTTTTATGTAGAACTTCTTATCAAAATTCGAAATGTATTTGTTTTATTTGCGGAGCTTTACATCTCGGCCTACATAGCAGAAGCTTTAGCTATTTTGGTCTTTAACATGCAATTGGCAATTTATTGGAAATAAAGTGTAGGTAAATGAAGCTACATATTAAGATAAAGCTTTAAAAGAATAACTTTGTTCTCCATATTCAGATGACCATTCAAGGGTAATCCTTGACACACTCCCCGGAGAAAATGGTTCGGACTACATTAATGCCGACTACATCGATGTGAGTATCAGCGTCATCGAAATAGGCAAAACATACAGATTGTTAGCTGTACAGTTGTTTTCTCTGTGGTTACCGCGAACATGATACCGAATTTCTCATTTATCTTCGATACGTTTAGTGTTGTCAACGCTTGCTCAAACGTGAATAATTTGTTATTCTAAAAATCTGCAATCGCGTTGATCGCATTTGGTAAAACTTCCAAAATGTGTTTCGATTTGATTCAGCTAGAAAATATTACTTTTTCAGAATGTTGAAGCAAAGAAGTTCTATGTTGCAACCCAAGGTAAAGTAAAGGTTAAATTATCTTAATATCTTATATTCTCTTATTTCAAAAATGCATTTATCTCAGCTCAGATTATTTCTATGTACTTATTGGGGGGTGAAAAATTACATGGCGTAGAAAATATATTTGATATGCGTTTTTTGTTACACCCGGTTAATTCGACGTCTGCTAGCATATTTTTTTCTAAATATAATTTGGTTTTTTTCTTTGACATTAATCGTATCAAATATCATAACTATTTTGATTAAAGGACCACTCCCAAATACCACTGATGACTTTTGGAGAATGGTCTGGTTTCTGAACTCTGGAAAGATAGTGATGCTTGAAAATTTGGTAGAAAATCGAAAGGTAATTATATCTTGAGATAGGATTTTACGAATATTTAGCATTATTCATTATTTAGAAAGTAGAAAGTGGTATGATTGTTTTTTTTAATCAAAGTAAATCTATACCACCATGGCTCTCGTAAATGTAACATTTCATTGAACAAATCTATGCAATATATTCGTTTATCATAACAATATTACACACCACTTTCATCTTTTTTAAACATCTGATTTTAAAGAGGGTTTATTTCCTTTCCAAACAGTTGCATAGCTCTTGTAAGGCAAACAACCTATGAGGGTGAGACTTTGCAGCGTATCAAAACCTGAAACTGCTTTTTAGTCATCGCGAATAAACTCTGAATGATGACTAGAACGTTTTATGATAAAATGTAGGGAATTTTGAAATTACGGAATTCTTTTATAAAAGGTAGATTCAAACCAATCAACTTTATATAATCATAATATGATCATTTCAGGTCAAATGTGCCAAATACTGGCCTGACGAAGGAGATCCAATGTTAACCAAGACATTTGATATTTCGCAAAACGGGGAACACGTTTATGCCTCCCATGTTGTCAGGAACATCACTGTTGTCGATCGAAAGGTAGTTTAACATATTGATATGAATTTAAACCTGGCTTACAATGAAACGTCATGCAGTTAATCTACCTTTGCATGTTGTAAGCTTCCATTTTTAAATACTACTTTCTGTAAATAATTATGTGCTGTCTTTTTATGAGAATAATTAAAGTATATCAAATATAATGTCTGTAACGAAGCATCTAGTTTTTATTGAGATTACCAGTAATATTCTAATTATATCTTGCTTTATAAGATTAATTCCAGCCTGACATTATTTTTCCCAAAAGAAAAATAGACAAGCTTGTCCTATATATTTCAAAGTGTAACTATATTAATGCCAAAAATATAAAATGCTCTTTTCAACCAGACAAAGATAAAGCGAGAGATTCAGCAGTTTCATTTTACAATCTGGACGGATCATGATACCCCAAACACGTTAGATCTTGTTCTGTTTCATCGTCGCGTGAAGCTTCACAAAACTGTTCTTCCTGGACAGATGGTTATTCACTGCAGGTAAAATGATAACAGAGGGGGAAAAGTCATGCATGTCACTTATATCAGCATCAGAAAGATTTTTGGACACATATTGTAGTATCATGATACCCATTTACACTATGTTTAGTTATCGCAACAGACCTGTAGAGCGGGGACGTATCTATCACTTTAATAGAATTGATATTTCATTTATTCATTTTTTTACAGAAAATTTGTTCTTGTCTCAAATTAGGCAAGATATGCTTTTGGCATACAGAAAGTTCAATAGATATAGTGTATTCCACGTATGTGCACACAGTGAGCTCAAGTGTCATTACGTCGTAATCCGATGACGAAACCACATAATAACGTCCCTATCGAAAGAAACTCAAAATTTCGTTTGACTAATTATTATAATCTTGCCGCCAAAATATGACCTTATTTTTTGTAGGTTTCTAGGAATTTTGCAACATATTTAGTCTAAATTTTTAGTATAACTTTTGCACTGTCTTTGTTGTATCTTACCAAAATGTCGTTAAAGTCAAGAGGGGAGAATTATTTATTGATTCATTACGTATATAATTATGTTGAATATTGAAATTTTAACATAAGGTGAAAAAACAGTGACCATCGGTAAAGATATACATATATATATGTATATATTCCATTCTATTTCAATATAATGTATATATTTACCCACTCAGCATGCATTGAAAGAATATGTCAGATGTTAATGAAAACAAAATGCATATTATCACGCAACGTGTTTTTTTTCACAGTGCTGGTGCTGGAAGAACAGGAATATTCATCGCTCTTGACGCCCTGTTGGAGTTCGGTAAAAAACATAACCGCATCGACATCCGGCATTTCATACATACGATGGGCAAAGACAGAATGAACATGGTTCAAACAGCGGTGAGCCATCCCTTGTTTATCATATCCTATCAAGGCTGAATTATCCTTGTGCCAGATCCCTTTGCATAATTGTATCCGTTTTTCGAGTCCTCTTTAGATTCATGGTGAATAGGCAGCTAACATTTAACCGATATAATAGAAAGATCAGCACGTCTATGGTGCTGTATTTATTAACATTTCAAAAAGCTCAGTTTTCCATTGCTTTAACGAGTGGTTAAACCGATAATGCAATGCTTAAAAAAAACTTCACAACTCTTAGATAATTGAAAAAATATACGAAAGAGTTAGTGTATGATGAATTTAATTGTTCAAAAATGAAGATTAAAGAATTTAACAAACAATTAACCAAGTAAAAATAGGTGTTTAACAGTCGCCTTGTGTGTTTAAAATATTTAAGATGTTTGCACAACTATCATTTAAGGCATTTGAAAACGTATCACTACAATGACATTCTATTACAGGATCAATATGTGGCTCTTCATGAAATGCTTGCGGAGGCTTTTGATCTTCAAGATTCACTTATACCGAAATCGATGTTCGCTGCCAAGTACCATACTCTCTCTACCACCAGACACGCAGCTCAAAACCAGACCCAGCTGAGTGATGAGTTCAAAGTATATTTAAGTCGATCAATTTAAACTGACATGACAGCAAACTTAATAGATACAATTGATATTGATAAGCCAAATGCAACGTTTGATAATTACATGACATTGTACATCCTCGGCGATATAACATCATTCATTGTTGGTAAATGACAATTTATTTTATTGGCAATAATACATGCACGCGTATTTTAGCTCAATAAAGCCATGCACGCGCAACGCTCTTCCAAAAGATCCCCCTTATGGCAAGTTTATTTAAGTAAGTTGTGTGTGATGGTATTGAAGTAATTAGGTTTACTAAATGAATGTATACGCATATTTTTTTAATATCTAAATATGTTCACATGCACCCACTATATACTGGTACAAGATGACTGATATATGTCACGTCGCGAAATTACTACATCATGGTGAAATGAAAACGAGGCATCATGTGAAAAAGGCATGTTATGATGAAATGTGTAACTTGAAATTCAAAAACTACCTTCTTTTATTACATTTTCACGACATTTTCTTATATCCTTGTTGCATAAGTCGCGTGAACACACTTGTAATGATAATTTCTTAAAAATCGATGTTAATTTTCAGTTGATGTGGGACCAAAAGCCTGATTACAAAGTAGAAAAGGACTTTCAAGCTTCTTTACTTCCCGAAAACAGAACAAAAAACAGAGCAATGCGAATATTGGCAGGTGTGTAGCTTACAGTTGGATTTCTTACTGCATACCCTATTCAACGTTATCACTCACAATTGCAAAATTCAGCATTTCCCGCTGCTAGTAGTTAAACCGGTTTGTGTTCATGTAAAACACTTAAGTTCATGAACACGGTTATTACTTAAAACAATTGAATTAGAATATGGAGGCGCATTGTAATAAGAACAATTTTAATGTTGTTTCTGAAAATACAATCTAAATAGAAATCCTAATGTACACGCGAGACAGTGATTGTTCTCTATTTCGGAAAATTAAAAAAACATGTTATTACTTTTCATTACCTTTTAGTGTTTGCAATGCATGATATTATGCTTAATAATTTTTAGTTTGAATTCTGATGATGAAGCAATGATAAGTGAGTTCATGTTATGAACGATTTTACTTACAGTGGACAGATTTAGAGCCTGCCTGAAGTCGTACGCTTCAAATAGCAATGATTATATCAATGCTGTCAAAACACAGGTAAGTCACTCTGTATATAAAAAAAATCACAAATTCATAACATATAATGTAAATGGAATCGATATTGAAGAATTATTTGTTTACATCAAACATCAGTAAAGAACACCGAAGAATGAATATAACATATCTCCTAACAAACATATTTTCATTTGTGCTTGTCAAATCAAAATTTACTAGACCAAACTTACACCTTTCATCCAGTTGCAAGAGAACTAGAATGTTAACGAAATGCATTACACTGTTTCAGTCCTACACTGGCCAGCAAGGATACATAGTCACTCAGTTTCCCCTGACGGACACAAGAGCAGACTTTTGGACCCTAGTGATGGACTACAAATCTGATACTGTCGTCATACTAGGAGACCCCAGACAGGCAAGCTTAAACCTTGTATATTACGTATAAATCAAATCAGAAATAAGAAGAAATTTAAGTAACTAAACTCGTATATATTTATTATATTATATTTCCAGAGAAATGACTCGCCTTACTTAAACATAGAATTCCAAATAATTGTCGTAAGAAGAATATGTCAGTGATGTCTTACTCAAAATGCAATGAGTGTTCGTTTCGTTTTGGATCAGTATTTCTATATAGCGCCATACCACTTGAATATTACATCATATCATAAAGGCTTGTTTTGAACACAAACAGGAATTTAAAAAAAATATCCTGTTTGTGTTCAAAACAAACTTTTTTTTTTTTATTCATATCAAACTGGTGAATTTTATTCCGAATACATCATTTCAAACCTGTTTACCCCTATCCAAACTCAACTACAATCCATTCTGTGTTAGTATACAGTTAGCGTAACGGGCTTCTGTGAAGGGCATCACTACACTCTGCTGCCTGCGGGGTTCGAACCTACGGTCTTCCAGTCATTGGCTGATGCACTACCAACAGTGTTGTTTATTCCCTTGTTTCATCTTTTGTATTATTTTGTTTCCAAAATTATGTTTTGTCAATAATATACTTCACATGAGGTTTTGTTTGTAGAGGAAACTATTCGAAACGGATTTTATGTGGGACGAATAGTTATAAAAATGAGAAATAGTAATGATTAATGTAGCATGTCCTATTTGTATCACTCGTTTAGCAGGTGCACTGCATGTTAAGCGTTGGTGTGCGACAATTTTTTCCATATCTGCATGTAATATATAGGATTCATTTAACAATGAACATATTTTTTTATTCATTGAGTTCATTCATCATTTGGCAGCTTGCACAGTGGATACCTGCCGACGAAGAAGATGTTAGCATCAATGACTTCAACGTGAAACAAAATGGGACATCGACGGAGGTCAATGGCGTGGATGTGATTGATGTATTAGTAAATCGGAAGGTAAACTTTTGTTTTATGCAAATAATAATGAAAGCTCTTCCGTTGTAGTAGAGTATGCTTTGGTCAAAATAAGAAAAGGATGTCTGGATGCATTTCTAAAGTTGTTAATTTATTATTTTATTTTGTTTATTTGAATATCAATTGTAAACATTCTCATGATGAATTGCAAGTTTTGCCTATTTCAATTATAACAGTAAGTTTGTGCAATTTAAATTAACATAATTTTGTAAAGTCACGATATAAACATTACAGAATGAAAAAACTGCACATAGTGCAAGACTTTTCCAAATGAAGGAATGGACAATGGAGGTTCCTCCGTCGAAACAATCCATCCTTCATCTTCTTGAGCAGGTGGAAAGCAGGCGTCGGTCTAATGACAATAAACCTGTTATAGTGACGTGCGGGTGAGTTATAAATATATAGGTTTCAAGGCTGTCGTGATATAAATGATTTATATGTCATTTTGGATGTAATATGTTTGAAATGTATCAAAACCTTATTTTGTTCCAACGATGAGTTTTTTCAATTACATCATTTCATATTTAACCACATCAGTCTCCCCGAAATTTGAATAATTATAGAATAATATTGCATGAATTCACGCACTTACTTCCTTAATAATTCTGTAATGCTAGTTCATTCTCAAAGCGATAACTTTACTGATGTAGATTGTTTGTTTACTAGAGTCTTCTNCAAACTTACACCTTTCATCCAGTTGCAAGAGAACTAGAATGTTAACGAAATGCATTACACTGTTTCAGTCCTACACTGGCCAGCAAGGATACATAGTCACTCAGTTTCCCCTGACGGACACAAGAGCAGACTTTTGGACCCTAGTGATGGACTACAAATCTGATACTGTCGTCATACTAGGAGACCCCAGACAGGCAAGCTTAAACCTTGTATATTACGTATAAATCAAATCAGAAATAAGAAGAAATTTAAGTAACTAAACTCGTATATATTTATTATATTATATTTCCAGAGAAATGACTCGCCTTACTTAAACATAGAATTCCAAATAATTGTCGTAAGAAGAATATGTCAGTGATGTCTTACTCAAAATGCAATGAGTGTTCGTTTCGTTTTGGATCAGTATTTCTATATAGCGCCATACCACTTGAATATTACATCATATCATAAAGGCTTGTTTTGAACACAAACAGGAATTTAAAAAAAATATCCTGTTTGTGTTCAAAACAAACTTTTTTTTTTTTATTCATATCAAACTGGTGAATTTTATTCCGAATACATCATTTCAAACCTGTTTACCCCTATCCAAACTCAACTACAATCCATTCTGTGTTAGTATACAGTTAGCGTAACGGGCTTCTGTGAAGGGCATCACTACACTCTGCTGCCTGCGGGGTTCGAACCTACGGTCTTCCAGTCATTGGCTGATGCACTACCAACAGTGTTGTTTATTCCCTTGTTTCATCTTTTGTATTATTTTGTTTCCAAAATTATGTTTTGTCAATAATATACTTCACATGAGGTTTTGTTTGTAGAGGAAACTATTCGAAACGGATTTTATGTGGGACGAATAGTTATAAAAATGAGAAATAGTAATGATTAATGTAGCATGTCCTATTTGTATCACTCGTTTAGCAGGTGCACTGCATGTTAAGCATTGGTGTGCGACATTTTTTTCCATATCTGCATGTAATATATAAGATTCATTTAACAATGAACATAAATTGTTATTCATTGAGTTCATTCATCATTTGGCAGCCTGCACAGTGGATCCCTGCCGACGAAGAAGATGTTAGCATCAATGACTTCAACGTAAAACAAAATGGGACATCGACGGAGGTCAATGGCGTGGATGTGATTGATGTATTAGTAAATCGGAAGGTAAACTTTTGTTTTATGCAAATAATAATGAAAGCTCTTCCGTTGTAGTAGAGTATGCTTTGGTCAAAATAAGAAAAGGATGTCTGGATGCATTTCTAAAGTTGTTAATTTATTATTTTATTTTGTTTATTTGAATATCAATTGTAAACATTCTCATGATGAATTGCAAGTTTTGCCTATTTCAATTATAACAGTAAGTTTGTGCAATTTAAATTAACATAATTTTGTAAAGTCACGATATAAACATTACAGAATGAAAAAACTGCACATAGTGCAAGACTTTTCCAAATGAAGGAATGGACAATGGAGGTTCCTCCGTCGAAACAATCCATCCTTCATCTTCTTGAGCAGGTGGAAAGCAGGCGTCGGTCTAATGACAATAAACCTGTTATAGTGACGTGCGGGTGAGTTATAAATATATAGGTTTCAAGGCTGTCGTGATATAAATGATTTATATGTCATTTTGGATGTAATATGTTTGAAATGTATCAAAACCTTATTTTGTTCCAACGATGAGTTTTTTCAATTACATCATTTCATATTTAACCACATCAGTCTCCCCGAAATTTGAATAATTATAGAATAATATTGCATGAATTCACGCACTTACTTCCTTAATAATTCTGTAATGCTAGTTCATTCTCAAAGCGATAACTTTACTGATGTAGATTGTTTGTTTACTAGAGTATTCTGAAATGATAGTTCATTTTCAAAGCGATAACTTTTCTGATGTAGTTTGTTGGTTTACTAGAGTCTTCTGAAATACTAGTTCATTCTCAAAGCGATACCTGTCTGATAGCAATTGAAAGAGACACTATGAACTACTTTGTCTCTGGTTGTTTGATCTGTAATTGGTAGTTCTGTATTATATATTCATTTAGTAATCAATAACTTTGGCATCTGACAGAGATGGAACAACACAGTGTGGGCTATTTTGCCTCATGGCAAACACTCGGGACCAGCTAAAGATGGACGAGGAGGTTGATGTATTTCAGGCCGCACGACAGCTTCTCGTCAGACGACCAGAGTTTCTAAGCTCGTTTGTAAGTCAATGTTTCAGAAAGAAAAAAACTTATTTGCATTTTCCGATAACATTTCAAAATGAGCCTGCCACCATTACCACTTTCTCAAACACATCTTGTTATCTTGAACATAGTCAAATTGGCTGGAAACGAAGAAAAATAATGTAAAATTCCGCATTGTTATATTATACCAAACGTGATACGTCTGATATATTCATGTTAAGACATTTAACTAACATTAGCCGCTAACGTTAAGTCATGTGGTTTACATTGGCATTGTATATTCACTATATGAACCAGCCTTTAGTATCGTAAACGCTATTGGTGTTACGTGATTTGGCTGTGACACTATCTTTAAGCATATGCCAATGTGACGCTAAGTAGTATCGTTAAAATAAAATTGTGAATAGTTTAAAATCAATCGATCAATTGATTAATAGTGCTAGAGTTTTTTTCTATCTGACTATCTTGCATTTGGCTGTACAAAAACTGAACAAAGTAAAAAAAGAGGAACATTTGTATCAAATTACCAGTAGCTGTTCTAATTCTGGAAGCAAACAGATTGAACAGTTTGTATTTGTAATTTGCGTACTAGTAGCACGAATCGTGGGATATGTTATTTATATCTGTATAGTTCCAATATGATAATTTCAAACATTCCGTTCAATCATGTATATCTTCCCTTATGGATATGGAAGATGATGTTATGCTTTCCATATTGTGTTGGTTCTAGAGCAAGCATAGGTACGCTACAGGGATTTTTCAAGCGACAGACCAACTTCCATATTCAGATATGTATACTAATAGAACTAAAATGTAAAGACCTCTGTATTTAAGAATTTCATGAGATCCGTGATAATGTACGATGAGATAACTTTAACGGTGTTGTTCATTCACAGGACCAGTATCAGTTCTGCTATGCGATTCTCAAAGATTACCTGGAGGCCACTGAAGTTTACATCAACTAACTGAGGATGATTATAATCTAATCAGTAGACTGATACAGTAACTGAGAAATGTGTTGGAATCGGGGTAGAGGCTACAGATGTGTGTTCATAAAGTAAGACTTGTACAACAGAACACTTGCTACTGCTAGCCATGTACTGACACTTTTTTTAGTAGTTACCGGTGTGCCCATTCACTACGGATTATTCCTGTAATAACAGATATGTGGGAGGAAGTGAAACGATGCGTTCATGCACAGGAGTAAAACAAAGGATATTCTACCCGAAAAATTCCCAAATAAGCTAAAATCCGAATAAAAATGAACCCTTTTCTTCCGATAATGCGGATAAATCACATTTTTAGTTTCCAATTACATCACATCAAAATCTTCCGTCTTTATATTTTCTCAATTCGTTTGACGCAACGTCATGTTTGTCCCATTTTAAAAGTCTGGACCTGTAATGGAATGTTTGATATATATTTCTTTATTCCGTTCTGTCCCTTGAATAGTATATAATATAAGCTGGAGAATGAGAAAAAGTGTTCTATTGGGCTCGCAGTCATTAGTCAATGAGATTTGCGTATTTCAAGTATATTATCTACATTATAATTAGTTCTAGTTTAACACTTTATATTTTTATTAAATTCCATTTTTTTATTTTTATCATTATTCATTTTTTGCTTGCATTGATACAAGTTTTCTTTCACCTGTAATATGCTTGTAATCACTGGAAGATGTTGATTTTATCATACAGTATATCTGNAACACTTTATATTTTTATTAAATTCCATTTTTTTATTTTTATCATTATTCATTTTTTGCTTGCATTGATACAAGTTTTCTTTCACCTGTAATATGCTTGTAATCACTGGAAGATGTTGATTTTATCATACAGTATATCTGTATTTGTTTCTGTAAATATTAATGATATCCTAATTAACACGCATGTTCAGCTTTAAACGATGTGTTTTGTCTGCTAACGTTAAACTGGTAGATATTGGTACATCATTGTACAGCTGTGTGCAATAACGTTCATAAATAAAGATCGTAGTAAAAGTTTTTGGCAAAATATATAACCCATGCGTGTATTACCTGAGATAGGTTGAGTCTATCATGTTAAGAAACAATTGGATCAATACATTTAGATATCAGTCTTTATCATAGATAGACAGATAATGTACAGATGTTAAAAGTGTTTCCACGACAGCGCGGATTGATACAGTTTGCTTTAAGAGTTTTAGATGCCATCAATGTATATTTATTATGCATAACTGTAAATATTTAATATTTTAACTTTACATGTACACGGCATGCTAACTATATTTTATGATGAAACAAACTGTTTATGGCTGTTT